TCGGTTTCTTAATTCCTAGATCTGGCATGAAACATTCCAACAGACTATTAGAGATGTTTGGTCCAAGTGCCCTACAACAGGAGGAATGAGGGGTCTAACCTCCAAACTGCAAGCTACAAAAACTGCCCTAAAAGTCTGGAATCAAACCACCTTTGGAAACATCTTCCTCAACCTCAAAAACTTAGAGCAGGAAGCCATCCAAGCCTAACAACTCTTTGAGACAGACACCACAGATTCTAACAGAACTTCTGCTCAACTAGCCAACGGAAAACTCATCAAAGCTGTCAATATGGAAGTGGACTATTGGAGACAAAAGGCCAACAACAGGTGGCTAGATAAGGGTGACACAAACTCCAAACTCTTCCAAGCTTATGCCAAGGGGAACAGAAAGAAACTTTCTATCAAACACATTATTACCTCTGGAGGAAGAGGTATCTCATCCCCCAACGAAATTAAAGAGGAGGCCATTCAACACTATAAGAAACTCTACACCTCCAACCACACCCCATCCCACAGCATTATCACTAGCCTGATTCCCAAGGTTATCACAAAGGAGGACAATATGATGCTGAGTGCAATCCCAAACATTAATGAAGTAAAGAAGGTTGTGTGGGAGTTTAACGGGGACAGTGCAAGTGGACCGAACGGATTCAATGGAAATTTCTTCAAAACCTGTTGGGAGACAATTAAAAATGATGTGCTCATTGCTTCCCAAGATTTCTTCCTTGGCAAACCCATCCCTTGTGCATACGGAAGTACCTATTTGACTCTCATCCCCAAAACCTTGAACCCTAAGCGCTTTGATGACTACCGTCCTATTTCCCTCTCCACCTTCATGAGCAAGATCAACACCAAAATTCTGTCCAACAGACTTAATACCCTCCTCCACAAACTCATCTCTCTTGAGCAGGCAGCTTTCCAGAAGGGGAGATCCATTGATGATCATATACTGGTGGCCCAAGAAGCTATACACATTATTGACAAAAAGGTGTATGGAGGCAACACTATTGTCAAGATTGATATGGCAAAAGCTTTTGATAAAATGGAATGGAGCTTCATTGAGGGGATTCTTAATTCCTTTGGATTTTCTGATTAGTCCATCAACCTTTTGATGGCCAATCTCAAAGGAACAAACATTAGCATTCTCATCAATGGAGAACCATGTGGATTCTTTTTTTTTTGATGAAAATGTAAATAGAATAAAGAAGTAGAATATACAAATAGAACGGGCACACCCGAGCGTGGAAATGACAATAAGCCAATTCCGAACAAAGACAAAATGGCTACATCACCAAATGTCCAACAAGCAACAACACAATCAAACATAAAGCAAGGCACACACGCCAACATAAACACCAAGAACAACAATAACATACATCAAAAGATGAGGGAATACGTATGCCAGAGTCTCCCCAAAATGGAATAGACCATCACTTTGATTTTAAAAATCATACCCTCAACATGAATAGGTTCTTGATCGAAAAGGGTAGCATTACGTTGTTTCCAAATCTGGAAAACAGTACATGCCAGGCCAATCCTCCTAGCCTTCTTAAGAACAGCATCACCTCTTCGAAAGGTCTTCATCCAACGAACAGCTCTATCAAGAGTGCTCAGGTGCCCATCAATCCGTAACCACTGCTTAATGGCCTCCCAAACCTGCTTTGAGATTACACACCCAAAAAACAAATGATCAATGTCCTCAAGGGTATCCCCACAGAGGGTACACTCCATAGGCAGGCCCAGAAACTCTAAATTTGATTTAGTGGGCAGCCTCCTCCTAAATACTAGCCACATCGTAAAGGAGCATTTAGGAGGAATAGTCGAGTGCCAAATAAAAGCCATCCAAGGCTTGGGGTTGGCCTTCACCCTAAGCAAATCATACACCTTGCTCGGAACAAGGTTATCGCCCTCACACACAGTCTGCATAGCCACT